AGATCAGGAGATGTATTGCACTGGGCAAGCCTACAGTTAGGGATCCCTCCAGATTATTGAGGAGCAGTGAGATCAGTTTGAAGACTAAGGTGCACCTGAATCAGGGCATGATGTTTTCAGTCACTTATTTGCTGCTGAGAGTTTGACACTGAATAAGGAAGACAGAAGAAAAATTGATGTCTTTGAACTGTGGTGTTGCAGAAGGATGCTGGATATCTCATGAACTGTCAAAAAAATAAACAGATACGTCTTGGAGAATCTGTAGCCAGAGTGCTTCCTGAAGGAAAAGATGATGAAATTAATTTCACATACTTTAAGCATGTTGCTAGAAGAGTCTATTTCTTGGAGAGGAGCTTTATTCTTGAAAAGGTGGCAAGACCCTCAACCACGTGGATTGACACAGTGACTGCAGCAGTGGACTCAACTTGAGTGTGTCAGAGTGTGAGGATGGCACAGGATAGGACAGGGTTCAGGTCAGTTGTTCGTAGGGTCATTATGAGTTGTATGCAACTCGATGGCACCTAACAACAACACTACTACCATCCAGTTGTGTCCAGCTCATAGTGATCTTCCATTAGGTTTTCAAGGCTGCAAAACGGATTCTCTTTCTGCCATGGGGAGGCTGGTGGATTCAAACAGGGGAACTTTTTGTTAGCAAGGCATTCAGTGCCTTACGTACCACACTCTGGTAGCTTAGTGTTTTATGCACTACACTGCTTACCCAAAGGGTGGTATTTTGATCCTACCACTTGGTCCTTAAGAGAGAGATGGACAGTATCTTCTCATTAAAATTTGTAGCCCCAGAAACCCAATGGAGAGCTGCCTTATGTCAGAACTGATGGGACAGCAGAGGGTTTAGTTTAACAATAAAGCATGCTTGGTAAGTATCCAACACTCCAAATACCTTGAAGCATAGAGGTGAGAGAAAATTCAGTCCAGCCGACACCTTGGAACATTGCCATAAAGAACATAGAGTTTGTCATCGATGTTTGAACAGGATTTTAGGAAAATGATTGGGAACAAGGAAGTAAGGAGAGGAGAGAGTTGAACATTGACATTCTAAGTGGAGGGAATAATAGAGAAAAGGGAATCTCTGAACAATTAATTGTGCTCATGCAAAATATATAAATAGACTAAGAAGCAATTGTCTGAACAGAACAAGGAACACTATATGGTTTCAAAATCAATAAAGGTATGTGTCAGAGTTGTATCCTTTCCCTTTACCTATTCAGTCTGTATGATGAGCAACTAATTGTTAAAGCTGGACTGTATGAAGAAGAATGTGGTCTCAGGATTGGAAAAAGATTTACAGCCTCTGCTAAGCAGATAACACAGTCTTGCTTTCATAGAATGAAAAAGATGATTCAGTTGCTGCAGAAGATCAAAGATTACAGCTTTGAATATGGGTTATATTTGAACATCAAGAAAACAAAAATCCTCACCACTGACCCCCAATAATCAATACTGTAACAGTCAGAAAAGCTTGAAGTTGTCAATGAATCGTTTTTCCTTGGATCCACATTCAAAACCCATAGTAACATAGTAACTTCTTAACCCATAGTTAAGAAATCAAGACATTAATTTGGTAAAGTCTGCTGTCAGGGACCTCTTTAAAGCGTTAAAGTACAAGAATGTCAGTTTAAAGAATAAGGTGCACCTAATGCAAGCAATGGTATTTTTAATTACTTCCTATGCATATGAAAGTTGGACAGTGAATAAGGCAGACAGAAGAAGAATCAGTGCCTTTGGATTGTGGTGTTGGTGGAAAGTACTGAATATTCCAGAGACTGCCAAAAGAACAAACAAATCTGTCTTAAAGGCCCTTAGAGGCAGGGATGGAGAAACTTTGTCTCTCATATTTTGAGCATGTTTGCCAGGAGGGGCCAATCCTTAGAAAAAGATACCATGCTGGGAAAGGTAGAAAGTCAAAGAAAGACAGGTGAATGAATCCTCAAGGAGATGGGTTGACACAGGGACATTGACAGTGGGCTTGAACGTGGTGGTGATCACGCATGTGGTAAGGGTTAGGGCATTGTGCACATATGTTGTCCTTCTGTGAGTTGTAGTTGATTTAATTGCACTTAACAACAGCAACAATAACAGCAAGAGTTGACTTGAGGAGGCCCTGATGGCATAAGGTCAGCAGTTCAAACTAGCCACTCCACACATGCCAGGAAGATGAGGCTGTCTCCTTCCAAAAAGATTTACAGCCTCAGAAACCTATTTTCATTTAGAGTTTGATTAAAAGCATTATGAAATTAACTTAAAAAGAAAGGAGAAGCTTGTTTTCCATCTGTGAACTCTTTTCTGGGATGGAGACACTTTAAAAATGACTTTTAGCCCTTTGATACTCTAATGTACTTTGTCAGTAATGCGTTAATTGCTGAAATATTGGCTGGACAGAAAGAATGTAGATTCCAGAAGTGCTTGATAGGACCCGAGTCATTTATGTATCAGGCATTTCTTTTAAAATGATTAACTAAGTACCAAAACGTGTTGGATCTGGGTTTCTCTGTATTAAAAACCCCACATGTGTATCTGTCACTCTTTTCTCCCCCCTTTTCTTTCTTTATAAGCAGTTTCAGTGGAAAGAGACTTTAAAGCCGCTGCGTCAAGTAGCCAGAATCCAATTATCTGCGTGCCTCCACTGTCTTCAGTTTCTGTGAAGCCCCAGGTTGGCTGCACTGAGGACTATTTACTTTCTAAATTACCCTCTGATGGCAAAGATGTACCATTTGTGGTGCCCAGGTTTAAGTTATCTTATATCCAGCCCAGGACACAGGGGACTCCTTCACATCTGGAAGAACTTGAAGGTAAACAACAAAACAGCAGTATTTAAACATCAGCATGTGGCATTAATTAAAATACTATGATCGTTATTTTGCTTTCTTGATAGTTTTCAAAAGAATATATAAATATCTATAAAATTGTATGCTTGTCTCTTTCTGTGCATGAACTTGATAGGTCATATTTTATAATTGCTTAAGTTTTGTTGTTATTAAGCATATGCACAGTAAGACATCAATTCAACCATTTCTGTATGTACAATTCAGTGATACTGATTGATTACCTTCTTCACAATGTGCAGCCATTCTCATCCCCCCTTTCTTAGTTGCTCCTCCCCCATTAGCTCACTGCCCCCTAAAGTGCCTATCTAATCTTTCAAGTTGCACTTGTCCATTGGATCCCATCTAGATCGTGTTTAAAGGGACAGAATGTTCAAATACTTAACATAGAGTTCGTGTTTACTGGTTAGCTGAACTGTGAAACCTCCACAGGGTACTTTTGGCTTACAGTTTACAGATTATCTCAGGGTGATAGTTTCATTCTGTAATGAATGAAACTTTTTGACTAGGATCGTTCTGTAAAGAGTCCTTGCTCAAAATGTTTAGGAATGGTAACCAGACACCATGCCGTTCTCCTGCACCCTTGGCCAACGAGGCAGTTGTTCATGTCCAGTTAGCCATACGTCCCACCATCTCCTCCTATTCCTGAATTGCCTTCCTCTCTTTTCCTGACACATGGAATTCAATTGTGATGCCTTGCATGGCTGCTTAGAAGCTTTTAAGACTCAGTGAAATTAGCTGGAACAGAAGAACCAAACACATTGCTAGACCTGTTGACAGGATGTCCCAGGACACCATATGGGCGTCATTTTGGAAGGGTCCCATTATGAAATCTTTGTCATAACACAACACATTTGATGGTGGATTTGGCTTTTCTGGAGAAGGAATAGTGTAATTATGATAGCCTCAGTTATTCTTCACAGTTACTCTGCTTGCTTTGACACATATCTCTCCACCCACTGAGAGAATGTATTTTATGTTGCTTTTGTTGTGTACCACTGAGCTGGAATTGGCCCATAGCTGACCCTCCAATGGGTGGAGGTCTGAGAGCTGTATGCAGCTGTGTCATTTTGCTGTTGAGTTCTGTAGCACTGTAACTTAGTAAGTTGAGAGGAAGTCTTCCTGAATTCTGAAAAATGGTATCACTGTATATTACTTGAAGGGGAAATTGGAATTCACCAGTGGCTTACTTATTTAAAGAAAGAGTGAGTCAGATAGTGAATCATCTTTAGATCTACCTCTCTTAAATGATGCCTTGCTAGTGACTAATGCTACTGCTGTTGGCATAAGAAAACCTCTTGGATCACTGTTTAAGTGGGACACAGAAAACACCAACAGCATTAAAGTAAAAAAAATCATTTTCTCAAAAGGCACTTTTTAAGAGAATGAAAAGGTAATCTGAAGTGAGAGAGATTTTCAACAAATAGGGCTGAAAAGGGGCTAAAATCTAGGACATATAAGGAATTCTTATAGACCAATAAGAAAAAGACAAGTGTGTGTATCTCCTCAGTAATCATGAGGGTGACTCAAGTTAAAATCCCAATTTGCATGTATAGTGGTACGTTGTTAAGATTTTTAACTTGCTTTGCCTTCATGACTATTGAGAGCGAGCATCAGGTCTTATTTATTGGTTCTCTGAATAGCTTTTCTTCTGAAGTGCTTAAGTCTTTTTTAAAATTACATTTACATATATATAGAGAGTTGTTGATTGCTGTCAAGTTGAGCATGACTCATAGGGATCCTATGAACAAAAGGCCTGAAGCTTTTCTATAACTATCATCATTTATCAAAGTTCATAGAGTTTCCAGAGGCATGTTGTTTAGGAAGTGGATGCCACTCCTGCTTCTAAATACACACACACGTATACACACACACACACACACACATATATATATATATATATATATATATAATTTCTTCAGTTTAATGTAGATGGTGTGTTCTATGCCCTTTTAAGAAGCATTTCACTGTTTAAGGCTATGAAAGCATTCTTGTGAGTTAAGTTTAGAAGTCCTTTTTGTCTTGCTTTTAATATTTAATTTAGATGGCCAATCTACTTGGAATCAATATTTTTAAAAATGTGGAAAGTCTAGTGCATAGTCTACAGGGAGTTTTGTTGTTACCCTGAAGGTGAGACCTCTCTGGTGAAGCGAATCCACCAGTGGGAGAAAGATGGGCAATCTCCTCTCCTGCAATTTACAGCCTCAGAAACCCGGTGGAGGATCAGCTGAGTTGGTGCCTGACTCAATGGCAGTTATGGGGTGGGGGGAGAATTTATTTTTCTTATACAGATATAAAGGATTCTGAGGCTCTGTCTAACATACTTTGGACATGTTGTGAGGAGAGACCGGTCCTTAGAGAGGGACATCATGCTGGGGAGGGTGGAGGGACGGCGCAGGAGGGGAAGGCCCTCTATGAGGTGGATTGATTCAGTGACTGGGATAATTGGGATGGGAGTGTCAGAGACAGTGCGATTGGCACAGGACAGAGCGGAGTTTAGGGCTGTTGTACATAGGGTCGCCATGAGTCGCAAGCGACTCGACGGCACATAACAACAACAACAACATACAGCTATCACATTATTCTTCCACCTTTTATTGGAAAGACCATCCTTTCTTTGTCTGGACCTTTGTTTTATTGATTTGTTTTTTTCTATTGTGCCAATAGTCTTTGGTTCTGGATCAAGTCTTAAAACCGATAAAACAAATCTTTCATCTTGCTCTTCTGAAATATGTTTTTCTGCTGCTGTTATTCTTAGCTCTTTGCATTCCTACACGCAGTCTCCCCCCCTTATTTGCTGGTGTGTGTGTATATATATGTATGTATAATTTTAAAAATGTTCTTGCTGTAAGAAAAATGAAAGTACAACTAGGTTACAAAGACTGGAATAATCTATGGGGCAAAGAAAAAGGTCTACCACTTACCAGACTCTTTTGAGAGTAGGAACCGTGGCAGTTCCCAGGCATACTCGAATCCTCTAGGGAGCTCAATCCATAGGATTTTTTTTTTTCAATCTGTTAAAGATATGTGATTTTGTGTCACTTGAGACCAGAACTTTTTCTCCCTTTCCTTTTCCCTTCCTTCTTTCCTGTATAAGACTATTATTGTAGACCGTGTATGAGAATCCAAGGTAGGACAGTGGGAGCAGAGCGGTGCAGATGGGCGGGGATGGGGGTGGGGGTAATCACAGGGTCACACAATTTGATGGGTGGGGGGAGGGGTTGGTAAAGGAAACTAGAAAGATCTGATGTGAAAAGCCATGTATACAAACTTTGTCAGTAAATTAGTATAAAATAAAAGTATTATTTAAGAAAACAAAACCCCTTTTTTTGGTGATTTTAGTGAAGGTTTACAAAGAGATTGGTTTTCATTCATTCATTCATACACTGTGTTCTCCTCACTCCTCCCCTAAATCCCTTTGTAATGCTTGTCTGCTCCACATTCCTAATGGTCCTACGTAGAATGTCTAACCGTCTATTTCTTTCACATTGTCCTTCCCTCCACCAAGTCCAGCATTGTGTTCTTTTTCTAGCCACTATTCTCTGGCTCGCCCCCTCCCAGCTGTATCCATCCTATGTTTATTACAGTGAGACCAAAACAGTTTTTATTTACCTTGGGAGCCCTAGGTTTATTTTGCAAATAATGCCAAAAAAAGAAAAAAAAATAGGATATTGTCAAACACGGAAACTTTTTGCCTTTTAGGATCTGCCAGAGCATCTTTTGCAGATCGAAAGGTAGAACTTTCCAGTTCCTTCCAGCATGGATCCAGCTATGACGTGTATAACCCGTTCTATATGTATCAGCACATCTCACCGGATTTGAGCCGGCGTTTCCCACCTCATTCTGAAGCCATGAAGCAGTACGGATCAGGTGTGAACTTCTCTATAAGCTTTCTTTCCCTCTTTGAATTTCTCTTTAACAGACTTGGAAATCATAGGTTCATAGAAGTTCCTGAGAGGAAGTATTCTTTGTATAAAAGTGTTTTAAAACTAAGAGGAAAGCAGGCTCTGGAAGTGATATGGTAAGTATCATAATGAGGCTATCAAGTTATAACTAATATAAAAGTGCAAAGATTAATGGATTATCTGAAGGGACAGCAGAAACCCCATTTTTTTATAAACCCCCATTAATGCTAGAGGCAGAAGCGGGCCATAAAAATTCTTAGCTTAGGGCAAACACAAGTGCCCTGGGTAAGGCCTTGTCTGTCCTTGAAAAGTAAGGAATTAACTAGTGTCTGTGTGACACCAAAGGAGTAAAGGTGGGCAAAGTAGCCAGCCCGTCAAAAGTCAGCCCAAATGACTACTTCCCCAGCCCACCAACCAGGATCGCAATCCCCCTGCCCTTACAGGGGCACTCAAAAGAGCTATAAAAGCAAGTGGGAGGGGGAAACTGGGGGCTTTTGTCCTTCACCACCTTCCTGAGAAGGAAAAAAAGTCTCCACGTGTGGAAATAATATAATAAACGCTCTTGAAATTTCAGACGTGTTTTTAGATTTCTTTGAGGGGCATTTTGTGGGCAGAACATTATCTAGTTTGGTAGTTATCGGTTCCATTTTTTTAAAAAAAAGTTTTGTTTTTCTATTGTTTTTTACATGTTTATGTAATCTATTTGTCATTAAGAAGTCCTCGTGTCATAATGAGTAACAAATTGGGCCCATTAACTGCAAGAGCAGCAATCCTAATGCAACAGCTGCTGCTTCAGAGAGAGATGGCAGGCGCCTCCCATAAAGATTTACAGCTTTGGAAACTCGGTGACGGGTCATTATGACCGGTACCAACTTGATGGCAAAAGGCTTTGTGACGGGTGTTCACTAATGTTGCAGTAGATATTTGTTAGATGTTTTTCTTCTCTATTCAGTGAAAATTAGGAATTTAGAAACTAGGATATGATTGGAAATGATATGAGCAAAGAAAAAAACAACAACAAACCACCAACACATAAAAGAATATACAACATTTTTTAGCTTTATATTTGAGACTCTACCAATATTTTATACATAACAGATTTGCAAAATCTTCACTGTTTTTCCATTGTATGATATAGTATAGTTACCGCAGACAGCGAATTCTCAGCTAAATTCTTAACTAAAGAAGAAATGGCCATTGTACAAAGGATGTAATGAAAATTCTATTTTAGATACACACATACACACTCATAATAAAATAAAGAAGAAATAGTTGTTTACAGGCCTGTCTTATGCTCAATATTGTCTTAAATCACATAGAGTCTCACTCTTCAAAAAGCTGACAGTTTTGGAGGGACATTACAAATGCTGCAGTGAAGAGACTGTGGTTTCGATTTGTTCATGTCTTAAGTGCTCTCTGAATAGTAGGTGAATTGCAGTTAGCTGGGAAACTTAACGCCATTAGATTATCTCCTAGGATGGAAAACTGGGAAGGCAAGTAAAAGGAAATATCTTGCGCTTTGGCATTTTGTATGAAGGCTGTTGCTGTTGTTAAGTGCCGTGGAGTTGCAGGAGACTCAAAGGAACTCTATGAAGGAGAGTCCTTGACGCTTGGGTGCCTTTCATCCTCTCTCCAAGTTCACAGGGTTTCCAGAGGCAAGCTGTTATGGAAGTGGATGCCACTCCTCCTTCCAGTTTTATGAAGGGGACAATGTATTTTTGTTTCTGTCTCAAAGAAAGTGAAATATAGGAAAACAAACACTCTATCATAAAACTGTCCTTTTAAAAATTGATTTGTACACAATACTTATGGTATAAAACGAAATTGATTTGTATACAATACTTACGGTATGAAACTATCAGCAAGTATACTGACTCATAGTAACAAAGCAGAATTCTAGCATTTCTCCTTTACTGTAAAAGTTGCTAATTTTCTCATGTCACTGTGTAGTTTGTGACTTAAGGAGCTATAAACTTCCTGGTTCCCCTGGGCTAAGCAAATCTATGTTTGATCTTACAAGTTCATCTCAACGATTCATCCAGGTAAGTTATTGCTATCTATTTAACTCTGCATGGTTTCTGAGGTTTTTTAAAACTATATATAATGATTTATTTTCAAGTGAAAAACTAAAAATTGTGTGATTTATATTAGGAACAGCATGTTCAGTATCTTTTATAGCTGCATCTACTTTAATGTCTAAAAAAATAATAAAAATATTCCCATATGCATTGTTTTAGGAAACTATCTGTTACTACTAAAAGCCATTACTTGTTAAACTTTTTTATGATCTTTATGTCTCTCAGTTGCCACACAATTTGGGAGTTTGCGGCAATGGAATTGAAATAGGATTTTGACTTATTGAATTTAAACACCTCATTATTAAAAATTAGTATTTTCATTAATATATAAGGAGTTTAGTTACTTGTTAATGTTCATATAATATCTTAATTTAAAAATAAAACAGATTTTTTTGTTTTAAAAACTATTTCTTAATGTGAGTAATCTGTCATTAAGTTAAAAATAGAAACAAGAGATAATCAAAGGAAAAAAAACTAAAAAAGATAAAAACGCTATTGACATTTTGTTATATACAATATTGGACTTTTTCCATTGGACAATACATACACACATGTTTTATAGAAATCAAGATACGTTCTAAATAAGGAAAATATCCTTATTTGAGTTAATTTACTTCTTTTTAAATTGAATTTTATATAATAATTTAATAAGAGCAAAGGCCACATGAGGATAGCCGTATCTGACCTTTATCAACTTCCCAGAGGGGAACTGTGCCCACCAATAACTTCAGTAACACAAAACCAATTCCCATGAGGTCAGATATGTCCCCAAGGCTTCTGTACCCCTTTCTACTCATCTCAACACCAATCTTACTGCTTTACTGGGTTCAAAATCTGATGGGAGAGCTCACAGACCCTAGAGAACCATGTTGGGAAAGTAAAAATGTTGTAAATGAGTTTAGTGATAGGATAGGGTCAGGACAGCTTCCAAAAGGTGCTCACAGGCAACTCAGCGCTGAGCCTCGTGACATTAGAGCAGTGTCACAGAGTTTTCAGACCTGCCGACAGTGACTCTCCCCACCCCCCAAGTTGTCCAACAAACTGGGCAGAGGCTCTTCGTTTAGCTCTGGTTCTGTCCATCGGGGTGGGTGGCAGCCAGCTTCATCTCAAATCGAGTCTGGTACTCAGCTGCTGCAAGCATGTTTGGGCCCGAAGGACATGTTACATTCTTCTGCTGCTTCTTTACTGTCAGGGAAAGTCTAATTCTGCTGCTGGAGCTGCTCGATTTATTAGCAAGACTAGCCAACCCCCTTGTAGATTGGGGAGACTCATCAATTCCCTTGTGGAATGGGGAGATAGTCCGTCCCCTGTGGGTAGGCAACCATGTCCTCCTATTCACATATTCTCACCCATCCACATAGGAAAGTCAGATTCAATGGCTAGGACAGTCAGATTGAAAGATAAACTCTACGAGTAGCAATTCTTTTTTCCCTTTTCTTTTACCCCCTCTATTCTAGTAATGCTTTTTACTCAATTTCATGAAAGTTTACAGAGACTTAGGGTTTCCATTCATTCATTCATTGTTGCACTTTTCTCCCTGCCCACCTCTTTCCCCCAGTTCACTCTTCTCTTTGAAAAGTAAAAGAAAAATGCTTTCATTGTTATACAATCCTTCCCCTCAAGTCCAGTCCACTATGCAGCCTTCATTCTGGACTCCTGTCATGACAATAATACATAATCACATATCCCTTTTAAACAGTTCTCTCCCTCATCTCTTTCAATGCAGTCCACATTATTTATCCCTTCTTTCTCAGTCTTCCCTCAAATCCCGATGTCAGTCCCGTTTCACAACAGTGGCCCTTTGCAATATTTGTCCTTTTGTGAATGAGATATTTCACTCAGCATAATGTCTTCCAGGGTCACCCATTTTGTATAATATTTCATGAGTTCCTTGTTTTTCAATGCAGCATAGTATTCTGTTGTGTGAATATACCAGAGCTTCTCTATCCATTCATTTGTTGATGGGCACTTGGGTTATTTCCAACTCTTTGCTCTTGTGAACAAATCCACAATAAACATGGGTGTGCATATATCTGCTTGGGTGGTGGTTATGGTTTCTTTAGAGTATATCCCAGTAGTGGAATTGCTGGATCAAATGGAATTTCTATTTGCAACTTTTTGTGAAAGTGCCATACAGCCTTTCACAGTGGTTGCACCATTTTACACTCCCATCAACAGTGAATAAGGGTTCCTGTTTCTCCACAACCTCGCCAGCATTTGATGTTTGCTGAGTAACAATTCTTTAATGTGAATCCACTTAATTTGGTGAGCTTGTCAAAATATACATTCCCGCTTCATAGACTTAGAGTTTCAGCACCTCTATAATCGGCCTTGCACATTGCAGTATGTTCTTTGATTTCTTGACTGCTGCTTCCACGGAGGCTGATTGTAGATCCAAGTAAAATAAAGTCCTAAAGAGAAAGGCCCTCAATGATAATTAACACAGCAACAATAAACATAAGCAGAGATTGTAAGTAATGCCCAGGATCAGGCAATATTTTGTTCTATTGCACATAGAGTCATTAAGAGTCAGAGCTGATCTGATGGTACATAACAGGGATATTGTTGTTATTGTTGTTGTTATGTGCCATCGAGTGGCCTGCAACTCATGGCAACCCTATGTACAACAGCCATAAACCCTGCCCTATCCCGTGCCAATCTTACTGTCTCCAACACATCTATCCCCATTACCCCAGTCGCTGAATCAATCCACCTCATCAAGGGTCTCCCTCTCCTCCATTCTCCACTGTCCCTCCATCCTCCCAAGCATGACGTCCTTCTCCAAGGACTGGTCCTGCCTTGCAACATGTCCAAAGTATGTCAGACAAAGCTTCAGAATCCTTGCTTCCCAGGAGCAGCCTGGCTTCACCCTGTCTAGTACAAACTTGTTTGTTCTCCTAGTAGTCCATGGCATATGCAATACTCCTCCACGACCACAGCTCAAAGGCATCAATTCACCTTCTATCATCCCTAGTCATTGTCCAGCTTTCTGAAACATATCAAGTAATTGCAAAGACCATGGCCTGTATCAAGTGCATTTTAGTCTCCAGATTGACATCGTTGCTCTTCAGGACTTCGGAAAGGTCTCTGACAGCAGACTTTCCCAATGCAAGTTGTCTTTTCATTTCCTGGCTGCTGGTACCAAGAGTGTTGATTGTAGAGCCAAGCAAACTGAAGCTGTTGACAATCTCAATCTTTTCCCCATACATCATGATGCTGCTAATCGGCCCAGTGGTGAGAATCTTTGCTTTCTTGATGTTGAACTTCAATCCATAATGAAGACTGCAGTCCTTGACCTTCTGCAGCGAGCACTTCAGGTCCTCCTCAGTTTCAGGAAGCAAGGTTGTGTCATCTGCATAATGCAGATTGTTGATAAGTCTACCTCCAATCCTGATGCCACACTCATAAAGCCCAGCCTCCCAGATAATCTATTCTGCATATAGATTGAAAAGATATGGAGATATAACACATCCTTGGTGCACACCTTTCCCAATTTTGAACTGTGCAGTAGTTCCTTGCTCTGTTCTGACAACTGCCTCCTGGTCTAAGTATAGGATTCACATTAGCACACTCAAGCATTCTGAAATTCCCATTCTTCTCTGAGACAGCCACAGTTTATTGTGGTTTACAAAGTCAAACGCCTTTGCATAGTCAATGAAACACAGGTAGACATCCCTCTGGTATTCGCTGCTTTCAGCCAAGATCCATCTGACCTTAGCTATAATATTTCTAGTACCATAGTATAATATCAATAGTACCATGGCCTCTTCTAAACCCAGACTACACATCAGACAGTCCTCTGGGACACAGTAGGTCTGAAAGTATCCTTTGTGCCACAGTAGGGTCAGTGCTGGGCTGCTAACTGATTAGCAGTTAGACCCACAAGCTGTTCCCCAGGAGAAGCATGAGGCAGTCTCCTCTGTTAAGATTACTCATGGGGTTTACAATTTGAAGGGAGGAGGGGGAAGGAAATTGGAAGAATCTGTTCTCGAAAGCAATGTATTCAAATCTGGAAACTAAGGTGCACCTGATACAAGCCATGGTCTTTGCAATTACTTGCTATGTATCAGAGAGCTGGGCAATGACTAGGGAAGACAGAAGGAGAATCAATGCCTTTGAGTTGTGGTGTTGGAGAAGAGTGTTGCATATACCACGGACTGCTAAGAGAACAAACAGGTTTGTCCTGAAGAGGGTATAGCCAGGCTACTTCTTGGAGGCTAGGATTCTGAAGCTTCCTCTGACATACTTTGGACATTTTGCAAGGAGAGACCAGTCCTTGGAGAGGGACCTCATTGGAGGGCACAGGAGAGGAAGACCCTTGATGAGAAGGATTGATTCAGTGACTGAGATAATGGGGGCAGGTGTGTCAGAGACAATGAGATTGGCTCAGGATAGGGCAGGGTTTAGGGCTGTTGTACACAGAGTTGCTATGAGTTGCAGGCAACTCGATGACACATAACAACAACAACAAAAAGTTAAGTTGGGTAGGGGGCAGTGAGGGAGAGAGGGTAAAATGTGTAACAATGAATTAATGAAAATCTAACTTTTCTTTAAACTTTTGTTACAATAACAATTGAAATAATAAATTTTAGTTGAAAAAAAAAAAGATTTACAGCCTCAGGAACACAGCGGAGGGTCTCCGGGAGTCAGAATCAAGTTGACAACAGGGGCTTTGGGTTTTGTGGGGTTTGTTTTGGTTTTTAATAGGCCTGAAGGTAGCATTGTTAGTAAGTCCCAGGTAATGCTGTTGGGCAGATTCAGAGGAGCCGCACATCGAGATCTATTGTTTTACGGGTTTTTAGGTAAAAGGGCACTTCCAAATGTGGTCTGCTTTTCATGAGTGCTTTCAAGTATGAAACTTAAACAGTAAACTCTTTTTCCTTCCTACAAAACCAAACCAAAGAAGTGAGTTTTCACATATGTTGTCTCGTTGTCGTTGTTGTTGTGTACTGTCAAGTCAGAACTGACCCATAGCTAACCCTCCAGTGAGTTTTCAGAGACAGTGAACCACATGGGAGGAGATTGTCCAGTAGTAAAACATTTAAAATGTCCCTGATAAAACACATACACGCAAAGCTCTTTCTTCTTTTACTGTCTAAAAGTGGGATATTCTGACTGGAAATGCCATCAAAATGGTTCATATGCAGCTTGAGTCTAGGACGGGCACTGGGGTGTAAGTAGTACAGTCTTTCATGGTTGACACCCTATCTCTGATTGAATAATTTTCTTTGTAGAGACATGATTCATTTTCCAGTGTACCCAGCAGTTCTTCTTCAAGGAAGAATTCTCAGGGGAGTAACAGAAGCCTAGGTAAGGGATGAAGTATTCTCCAATTTCTCTTAAGTAAATTAAGGGTAGAAAGTCCAGGTGGGGTGTGTGTGTATGTATAACATAGAGAGAGTTCTGTTGGCTTAGTGGATAGAAAGTTAAGCTACCAAGCCAAAGGTGGGTGATTTTAATCTGCAGCCCTCTGGCCTGGTTTTAATTGTCTTTGGTCAAACATTCTTCTGAGTGGTATAGCACTGATCTGTCCCATTTGCTGTACAGAGGTAACTCGTGGTTGCTATGATGCTAAACACTGTGACACTGATGTGCCACATGTGATAATGGTTACCCATGGTGGACAGTGTTTGGTGGAGCTCCCTGATTAAAATAGGCTTGGAAGCAGTAGTGGTGGCATCCGCTTTTGAAATAGCTTGCTTCCGGAAACTCTATGAACTTGGAGAAATGATGAAAGTCATGCAAGTGTTCAGGTCTTTTGTTCATAGGGTTGCTAAGAGTTGTCTACGACTCAATGGCACTTAACAACAATAACATGTATGTATATGCATATGTGTGTGTACATATATATTTATATTTAAACTGCTCCATGGTTTGAGGCCATCAGCTGCTCCACGGAAGAAGGATGGACAGTCTCCTCCCATGTGATTTACTGTGGCTGGAAACCTGCTGGTGGGTCAGCTGTGGGTTGGTTCTGACTCAATGGTACACAACAATAATATTATACACACACACACACACACACACACATATACATACACACACATACATATACACACACACAAACAAACATACACACACATATATCTATCTCCTGTGGAGCATCTGGTGAATATAAACCATGTAGTATATACTTGAGCTCTGATATATATATGTACATGTATCTACATATGAATTCTGTCAACATATTTATGTATTTATACACAAATATGTATCACATATCATCAACATTAGCATATAGATGCGATAGTGGTTTGAGTAGTCTGTTTAGTGTGCAATAGCTTTATAAAAAAGTTTTAAATATTGCAAGAATTACCATAATATACCATAGAGACATGAAGTCAGCACATGCTGTCGGGACGATGTCCCTCATAGACCTGCTGGACACAGGGTTGCCACGAACCTCCCCTTTTCAATAACACACAGCATTTTTTAAGCGTAGTAAAGCACAATGCAAGAGGACAAGACGTCCTCATGGATAAGATGAAAGCAACAATAGCAACTGTAAAGATTAGCTAACAAACTCTGGGAGTAATGAGCTTATGCTAATAGGGAAGGAACAACTCAGAAAAGATGGGGAGAGTGGTCACACGATTTGAAGAAGTTAAGCTTTGTCACTAAATCGTGCACACGTCGTTATGTGCCATCAAGTCGGAGGTGACCCTCCAGTAGGTTTTCACAACTGCCTCTGAACCGCACCTCCTGAGCTCCCTGATGTCTAACTGCATTTAGACGCTGTTGTCTTGGTGTGTGCGTCGCTGTATCTCACCATAGCTGTTCCATGAGAAGATGATGGGGAAGCCTGCCTCTGGGAAGATTTACAGCCTGGGAAACCTCTGGGCCGGTCTGCTCTGTTGGGCAGGGTTTCGGTCAGTCAGGATCCGCTGGATGGCAGTAGGTTGGGTTTTGGTTTGGCTTCTCAAAAAAAAAGTTTTCAAACTAGTAGTGCTTTTCATTTGTGCTCTTCAAACTGGATGATATCAAAGTTAATGGGTCAGTATTAAACATCTTTGTTCTTTTACATTCCAGATACAATTACGCTCTCCGGAGATGAAAAAGAGTTTGGGAGACTGAATGTGAAATTATTTTATAATTCTGCGGTAGAACAGATCTGGATCACAGTTTTACAGGTAAATCAAGATAATTAACACTGACTTTTCTTTTAAAATAGGCCATTTAAATAATACTATTTTGGAAGCAGGAGTGGCATCCACTTCCTAAAGCACATGCCTCTGAAAACTCTATGAAAGTTGATAAATGTCGATAGTTATAGAAAGATTTGAGGCCTTTTGTTCATAGAGTCGCTATCAGTTGTGCTCAATTCGATGGCAATCAACAACAACAACATTTAAATATTATAAGCACCTTCTGCTGTTTCCTTATGAAGAATGGGCCAATATCTTCTTTGGAATTTAGAATTAAATATTTGGCAGAAAATAATACTAAGCAAAAACATCAAAAGAAAATAAACCTCTACTTATGAGAAAAATATGTGTGATTTTACTGCAAAAGAGAAAGTAGTAGGATGTCTGCAATCATGTTTGAAATTATTTTAATGTGGCTGAAACAAGAGGGGGATCTCTGTAAACTAAAGTCACTTTTATAATTTTTACCTAGTCATAAAAAAATCAGGTGTTTATATGATCACAGATTTCCCCTAACATTCTCTCATTTTTCAGTGCAGAGATTTAAGCTGGCCCTCCAGTTGTGGAGATGCTCCTACAATTTCTGTTAAGGGAACATTAACTTTGCCCAAACCAGTTCATTTCAAGTCTTCAGCTAAAGAAGGTTCGAATGTAAGTAGCTGATGTTTGTGTCCAAACTTCTTTTTCTGCTTTTCTCTTGTCAATTTTATCTATGTAAAAGTAATTGTCATATATAAAAATAGGTTTTACAGATGAGGGAGAGAACAGTTCAAAAGCGATATATGATAGGGTATTATGGTTATCACAAGAGTCCAGAATTAAGGTTGCATAGTGGAATGTACTTGGGGTGGTGGGATTGTATACCAATGAAGGAATTTTTCTTTTACTTTTCAAAGAGAGGAGCAAACTGGGGTGAGGGGTGGGCAGGGAGAAAAGTGCAACAATGAATGAATGGAAATCCAAAATCTCTGTAAATGTTCATTAAAATTAATAAAATAAAGTTTAAAAAACCCAAAAACAAAAAAAAGTGTTTTATTTGGGGGAAACCTACAAATTAGGCATCTTGTGCCTTTAAAATAATTTTGAGTTTCAAAAATATTTGATATTTCAGTGTCAAATGTTTAAACACTTAGAATAAAAATTTTTTTTTATTTTATTATTTTTGTGTACGTGTACCGTCAAATCAGATCTGACTGGTACAGGAGGAGATTGTCCCTCCTTACCCAGCAGAGCATCTGGTGGATTCGAACCGTTTGCCTCTGGGATTGTAGTTGCAGCTACTTGCCACTAGGCCACCAGAGCTCCCCTAAACACTTAGAATAAATTTTTAATCCCTAAATTATATAGAAGAGAGCTTTGGTAGCCTAATGGTTAAGAAGCTGTGTTGCAATCCCAAAGACATGCAGTTCGAATCTACCAGCTACTCTACAGGAGAAGAATGGGCATTCTCCTCCTGTACAATTTACTATCAGCCATAAGTCATTCTTTATTCAATAGCACACAACAATAACAAATGATGTAGAAAATAAATTATCTCTAAGAACACAGTATTTACTATATCCAAGGAAAATAAATGTTGGTATTTTTATCTCTTTCTCACTCCTACTTTTGCTTTGAGAAATAATTACATGAATGCAATTAATTTTTTAAAACACTGCCAGTTACTATGCGTGGAACACTTATGATCATGAATTTGGTTTTATAGTTCCAGATCTAGCATTAATTTGATGAAACATATTTATGAAATACATGTTCATTTTGCCTTCTGATATGGGTTTTAAAGGTTAGTGTTTGCCATGCAAATTAAGTTTCATCTACACGAATATGTCATCTAAAAATAAGATGACTCAAATGACTAAAAACCATGAGAGAACACTCAATAGTAATCATAAAAATACAAGTTGTGCATTTTTCTTTACTTTCTCTGTTCATTTCTTATTTATTAATTGCAAATTTTTTTAACACTATAATTGGAAGAAGGAATGGCATAAAAATACAAGTTGTGCATTTTTCTTTACTTTCTCTGTTCATTTCTTATTTATTAATTGCAAATTTTTTAACACTATAATTGGAAGAAGGAATGGCATCCACTTCCTAAACAACATGCCTCTGGAAACTATGTGAACTTTGATAAATGATGATAGTTATAGAAAGACTTCACACCTTTTATTCATAGAGTCACTATGAGACATGCTCAACTCGATGGCAATCAACAACAAAAACAACTATGATATAAAGTTTTCTCTAAAGTATTTTGATTTTATAGAGCTCTGGTGTCCTAGTGGGTAGGGAGTTGTGCCACCAACCCAAGGGTGTGTGACTTGCATCTACCAGCTGCTTCAAGCTAGGAAGATGAACAGTCTCCTCCCCTGTGATTTGCAGCCTTTGAAATCCCACTTGGAGAGTCAGCCGTGAGTCAATTCTGACTTGATGGCAATGAGTGAATGAGTGATTTTGATAATACACATTAAACCTCTGAAATACTGATATTTTTTGACATCGTAATTTTACTTGGAATCTATCCCATGAAAATGATCTGAAATGCAAACACAAAATGTGTGTAAGCATTCTTAGTTTTGTTCATAGTGGAAAGTTAGAAATAATCTAAATGCTCTCAAGGGGAATAGTTGAGAAAAATCATAGTATACCTATTTGATGGAGAATTAGTGTGGGAACTTTGAATTAAGAAAGAATTTTTAAGAACAAAGAAAAGTGTTCTTATAGTTAAAAAGGTAATAAGAAAAATTATATGTGTGTATTATAATTCTACTTTATGAAAATATATATCACAGGATGTCTAAAAGGAAGTAAATTTTAACTCTGGTTATGATCCTTCCACTCTTCAATGAAGGCTTTCCGAATATTACTTAAATAATTTCACTTTTTTATTTTTAAATAAAATTAAACTGGAGAAAATGTAGTCATATTAAAACTTGCATGAAATATCTTCTTTTAAAAATCATGGTTTTAAATCAAGTTATTTGCTTTTTTCCTTTGAGAAGCTCCAATTGTGCAAAATTTGGAAAATATGAAATAAACCAGTACCTTTGTCCCATTTGAAAGCTCAATGCATCTGAGTTTTAAAATTCAACATTTTATGGCTAATTTACTGTTGGTGTGGTCCTACAGTTACAGGCTGTGAAAGTAAAAATGAGTTCAACCAATTGTAAGATATTCAGAAACATAATTCTGCCTGTCTAGACATAAGCAATTAGAATAAAAGTAGAAATCAGACCGCACTGTTCAAAATATTGTCTGTTGCTCAGATTTTTTGCTAATAAGCTCCTTTTCAGAAAGGCTATACTCTACATAGAAGTGTTATAAAGAATAGTCTAGTGTTAAGAGGTTAGTTCATAGTAAGGCAAACTTTAAAATATTAAAAGTAAGAAAAAGAACATTTGAAAATGTTCATCCCTTGGAAAACACTGATGTGTTGTTTGACGTAGACATTTATGAGAGAAGTTACACCAGTCGTTTCATATTTTTCTTCTGGCTTAATTTTCAGCTTGCAAAGGTGGAACAAAGAACAACCAAAACAGAAAGTGAAGCCTGAGATAGTGGAGGAAATAATAGAGTGTAGCCCTTTTTTATAAGTGATTTGTTTCATAATGTGAACAAGTTAGATTTTGGGTAGTGAGAGAACTATAGTATGAGATTGTTGAGCCATTTTTACTGTTAGAGAATTATGACTATGAAAGATGCCATGAAACCAAGTTGGGAGGGTAACTTTGAATTTTCAAGATTGTTATAAAAGATATGTTTTAAAAGCTCTTCATTCTCCTGGTTTTGTCTTTGATCTTGGTCTGAATTTGTGACTAAGTAGTTAGAAGGATGATTTTTTTGAAATAGTATTCAGGATAAATTCTAGAAAAGTAAATCATAGCTATTCCTATTTTTTATTTAATTTTTTTAAAAAGTGTATTCTTTTATTATAAGTCAAATTACTCTTCCTAATGTATGAAATGTTATTTTGACAATCTTGCATTAGCATATCAGCTTAAAAAGTTTTCAAATATTTATCTTATATGTGGGTGGACTTTTTTTTTTTTTAGGCTATTGATTTTATGGAAACATTTGTATTTGCTATTAAACTCCAAAGTCTACAAATGGTGAGACTCGTGTTTAAGATTCAAACTCAGTCTCCCAGGAAGAAAACCATTGGGGAATGCTCGCTGTCACTCAGAACTCTAAGCACACAGGAGATGGATTACTCTTTGGATATAACACCACCTTCAAAAATATCTGTAAGTGAAAGCATTCTATAATGTTAAAAAAAGCATTTCACAGTTTATAATTAGGAAATGGAGGAAGAACTATTCCAATACTCAGTTATTTTGTAATGGATTGTTTTATTTGTTAAAGAATAATTTATATACTGTGGAATAAATAGTAAAGAACCAGAGTTTTTAAAAGAAGTGCTTATAATGATATGGGAGCTCTGATGGCTTAGGGTTAAGGAGTTGTGCTGTCAACCCAATGTCATGTGGTTCGAATCTCCCAGCTGCTCAATGAGATAAAGATAGGCAACCTCCTCCCGTGTGATTTACTGCCTCTGAGAACTCACTGGAAGGTCAGCCATGAGTCAGTTCCAGATCAATGGTACATAACAACAAAATAATGATAATGATGTAATTGGTTTTCTTAACTGAGTAAAATTTTAACAGTCTCCTTCCCCTTTCTTTGTGGGAAAACAATCTCTGGTTACTTTCTCCTGGCATAGTTATTTCATACATCAGAGTAAATAGCTTGTAAGTATGAATATTCCACAATGATTGTTTTGTTTTGTTTTGTTTACTAGTTAATATCTGAGGAAAAGCAGAAAAGATAAAAAATACCAAACTAAATTGGAAATTGCTCTAAGCACATTAAAAAGTTGTTTGAATCATAAACTATGGACCTGCTCATAAATTTTATGAACCAAAGTTTTTCAGCTCATCTATATAGTGCAGTGTGTGTGTGTGTGTGTGTGTGTGTGTGTGTGAGAGAGAGAGAGAGAGAGAGAGAGAGACAGGAGAAAGATGAACAGTCTTCTCCCATACAGTTTATTGTCTCTGAAAAGCCATTGGAGGGTCAGCTATGAGTTAATTCCTACTTGATGGTGGACAACATCAACAATATGCATGTATATTTTTTACATATATATAATATATAAATTTTGGAGACTGAATGACGACCAGACTCTGGAGAGAAGGGTGCTCTTGTTTGGTTGAGAGTCGTGTGGAATGTTTCCCTGATTTTTTATTTAAGCCTTTTCTTAAGTATCAACAAGACTTCCTGGAGGGCCCAAGGGCCACAGGCCCTCGGGCCTCATGTTATTATATTTTGGAAGAACATTCTCTAAGTCATGCAGCACTCTTCTGTCAATATGCTAATCTGGGTTTGCTGTGATGCTGAACCTTGTGCCATTGGGGTGTCAAATGCCATAATGGTTGCCCGTGGTGAACAGTGTTTGGGGGAGCTCCTAGTTTAAAGACAGGTTTGGAAGCAGGAGTGGCATCCACTTCCTAAACCACATGCCTCTGTAAACTCTATGAACTCTGAGAAATGATGATAGTTATAGAAAGGCTTCAGGTCTTTTGTTTATAGGGTCACTATGAGTCGTGCTTGACTTGATGACAATCAAAAACAACAACCTAATATATACACACACATATATACATCATACCCCATGTACAACAGAAGAAAGTCCTGCCCAGTCCAGACAACCATTGTTCTGCTTAAATCCATTGCTACACTCATTGTGTTAATCCTCTCTTTCACTGATCTACTTTCCCAAGCATGATGTTCTGTTTTAGGGACCAACCCCTTCTAATAACATGTCAAGTAAGTGAGATAAAGTCTTGTCATGTTCACTTCTAAGGAACATTCTGGCTTTACTTTTTGTAAGACAAGTTTGTTCTTTGGGTGGTCTATGGTATTCTCACTATACAAGAATGCAAAGGCATCAATTATCTTCAATCTCCTTTCATTGTCTGGCTTTCACATGCATATGAGGTGATTGAAAATACCATGGCTTGCATTGTTGTGTTGTTGTCTGGTGCCATCAAGTTAACTACACCTGGCAGTGACTGTATGAACCACAGATTTAAACCTTGCCTCCCCCACGCCCATCCTCACAGTCTGTCATGTGAGAGCCTAGTGTGCCAGTCTCTGTGGCAGTCTGTCTCATTGAGGGTCTTCTTCTCACTCACTGACCCTCTACCTTTCCCAAAATGTTTCTCTCCAATGCCTGGTTCTTCCTGAAAATATGGCCAAACTAACTGAGAGGAAGTTTCACCATCCTTGCCGAAGAAGCACCCTGGTTTCACTTTCTTTAAGACAGATTTGCTTGTTCTTCTGGTAGTCTTTGGGATATTCAATACTCTTCTCCAATACCACATCTCAAAGACCTCAATTCTTCTTTGGTCTGCCTTAGTCATTGCCTGGGAAGCAATTGAAAATACTACGTTTTAGATCATGTGTTTAAACTGTTGTTCTTTAGCAATTGAAATGAAAAATAAACAACCTAAATTAAAAAAAAAAATCCCTGGACAGCAGATTTCTCCAGTGTAACACAGCTTGGTTCTTGACTGCTACTTCCAGTCAAGGAAGCTGATTGTGGAAACCAGGTAAAATTAAATCCTTGACATCAGTCTTTTCTTCATCTGACACAATGCTGCCTATTGGTCTAGTGGTGAGGACTTTTGTTTCCTTGATGTTGAGATGTAGCCCCTATTGAAGGCTGTAGTCTTTGATCTTCTTCATTAAATTCAAGTCTTCTTCACTTTCTTCAAGCAAGGTTGTATCATCTGCATAATGCAGTTTGCTAATGAGCATTCCTCCAATCCTTCCATTATGCCCACCTTAGTCTTCAGAGTGACCTTTTCCTCCCTAACACCTGTAAGAGGTCTTCGCAGCGATTTACCTAATGCCATATGTCAATATGATACTGTGGCTTTATTCCAATTTTCTTCCTTTTCACGATGTGAATAGTATTATTTCTCTATTTGGATGCTATAAACTCTGTTTAAAAGGGACATATATTCTTGTCATTACAGAAGTCCAGAATGAAGGCTGTATAGTGGAGTGAACTTGTGGGGAGGGATTGCATAACAATGAAAGAGGTTTTCTTTTTCTTTTCAAGGAGAAGAGTTATTTGGGGGTTGGGGGGGATTGGGCAGGGAGAAAAGTGCAACAATGAATGACTTAGGAAATCCTAAGTCTCTGTAAACTTTCATTAAAATTTATTAAATGAAAAAAAGCTAATCTGCCAGTCCCTCTCCATGATGAGAATAAACCTACCTCAATTAGAATTCTTTTTTTAAAAAAAGAGAACCTTTTCATTTCCCCCTCTCTTGACCCAGTTGCCATCGTGTTGATTCTGACTCATAATAATTCCGTGTGTGTCAGAGGAGAACTGTGGTTCATAAGATCCTCAGAGGTTCAAACTTCCAACGTGGTAGTGAGTCCCTGAGCACATGAACATTCTACATGACCCAGGACCCCTCTGCCTCTCTGTTGTGTGTGCCAGTCAGTTCTGACTCATGAACACCAGGCAGGACAGAGCAGAACCTCCCTGGAGGGTGTCTTACGTGGGATTCTTTATGGGACCGATTCTCTCTCTCGTTATGTGATGGTGAGAAGGCCGTGGCTTCCACTCCCATGACTCCTTGTACAGCAGAACACTGCCTCTCACCCATCCTCCCAATCGCTACTGGTCTTATGAAGCTCACTGCTGCAGCCACTGTGCTAATACATTTCATCAAGAGTCTTCCTCTTCTCTGTTGATCTTTTCCTTTTGCAAGCGTGATGCCCTTTTCTAGGAATTGGCACTTCCTGACAACATTCCCAGAATCTGTGAAAGGAAATCTAACCATTCGTGCTTTGAACAAGCACCTGGGCTGTACTTCTCTTCCAAAACAGATTTATTTCTTATTTAGTCAGTTCATGGTGTAATCGTTGCTTTTTGCCAACTCTGCCATTCAAAGGTATAAATTGTTTGGTCTTCCTTGTTCATTGTTCAGCTTTGACATGCATATGAAGCAATTACAAATACCATGGCTTGGATCGAGCACACTTTAACCTTTATATGGACATCAGCTCTTTAGAACTTTAAAGACTTCCTTGATAGCTGATTTGCCAAGTCTACTGTGTCATCAGATTTCTTGACTGTTGTCTCTACGGGTGTTAATTGTGGTGTCCAAGTACAACGAAATCCTTAACAACATCTGTCTTTTCTCCATCTGTGCTGCCTGTAGGTTAAGGTGTAAGGATTTTCATTTCCTTGATGTTTAGGGATAATCAATACTGAAGGTTGTAGTAGTCTTCGATCTTCAGTAACTGCTTCATGTCGTCTTCACCTTCAGCCAGTAAGGTTATGCCATCTGCATAAGGCAGGTTGTTGATAAGTCTTCTTTCAATCCTGATGCCACGTTCTCTTTTATAGTCCCGCCTTTTGAATGACTTCTTCAGCATACATATTAAATAGGAATAGTGAACGGATGCAACCTCGATGCACGGCTTTCGTGGTTTTAAACCATGCAGTATCCCTTTGTTCAGGGCCAGTGAATGTTTCTTGGTTCATGTACATGAACACAATGAAGTGTTCTGGAAAGCCCATTCTTCTTAAAACTACCCACACTTTATTATGATCCCCACAGTGTCTTTCCACACAGTCAATAGCACATTATCCAAGTAAACATCTTTCTAGTATTCTCTGCTGTCAGCCAAGATCCATCTGATGTCAGCAGTGATATCCCTTATTTTGCAGCTTCTTCTTAATATAACTTGTATTTTTGGCAGTTACTTGCTAATTAATGTACTGCTCCAGATGTTTTTTTAATCATCTCCAACATTTTGCTTGTATGAAGTACTAATGATATTATTTAATAATTTACGTATCCTATTGGAATGCCTTTTAAAAAAAATGGATGCTCCTATAGATCCCTTCCAGCCAGTTGACCAGATATCTGTCTTCTAAATTTCTTGGCATGAATGAGTTAGTATTGCTTGAGCTACGTCTGTCTACTGAAAATCTCAATTTATCTATTCCTGGGGCCTTACTTTATGCCAGTGCCACCAGTCCAGCTTGGACTTCCTCCTCCAGTACCATTGTTCTTAATCATGGTTCAATAACCTGAAATGGGTCAGTGTCAGCCAGTTCTTTCTAGTACAGTGACTCTGTTTACCCAGCATTTTTTTTAAACTTCCAATGTCATTTAATATTTTGCCTGTGGAATCTTTTAGTATTGCAATTGGAGGCTTCAGTTTATTCTCTAGTCATTTCAGCTTGAAAATGTCAAGTGTGTTTTCCCCTTTTGGTTGTCTAATTCCAATTTTTTGCACATTTTATTGTGATACTTTGCTTTGTCTTCTTCAACTGCCCTTTGAAATTTCCTGTTCAGTTGTTTGCTTGACCTCATTTCCTTTGACCTTTTCTCTTTGTTTGCCTTACCACCTCATACCTTCATTAATTTCCTTCTTGATAATTTTCTTATTTATTCCTCCATTCAGCATAGTAAATCAGTTCTTAATTCACAAATGCATTTTTTATAGTAATCCTTTATATTAATCTCTTATTCTTGAGATCACCCACCATGTGTCAGAGCCACACTGACAACGAATAACAACACTGATTTCTATAATTAGAAAATTAGTGAGGATTCTCATTTAGGTTTCTTATCATTATATTTTATATGCTATTTTAAAAAAGTGGAGCTCTGGTGGCCTAGTGGCAAGAAGCTGTGCTGCAATCCTGAAGGCATGCGGTTCGAGGCCAGCAGTCACTCTGGGAGAAGGATGGGCAGTCTCCTCGCATGCAATTAACTATTTCTGAAAACCTGCACAAGGGTCAGCTATGAATTGGTTCCTACTCGACAGTAAACAACAACAACAACATTTAAAAAGAATTAAAAAAACTAAAGCCTTCTGAAAATGAACCCTGTGTTTGTTTCACATTTTCTCTAAAAATACTGCTTTTTGTCTCAACTGAGTTTGAAGGTTCAGAATGTAGATGTGTAGCTAGAATTGGTGAGATTCATCTTCTTAACCTTCTCTCATACCTTTGTTGACAAGGACTTAGAAATAAAATCTGGTATGGCAATTATATAATTTATTAATCAATTTGAAACAAAGAATAGTTGAGCAGCAGTGCTTTTCATATTCTTAAACTTAGTTGTGTATTGCTGAACTTTGGAAATCATCTCAACACATTGATTGTTCTTTATGAAATGATGCTTTCTTGGTGCAGGTTTGCCACGCTGAGCTTGAACTGGGGACTTGTTTCCAAGCTGCCAATAGCAGAATTCAGGTACAGATTCTTGAAGCGCAGTACCTCCCAAGCTCCTCAACTCCTCTGAGTCTGAGTAAGTGTATCAGTGGTTCAATATGAAATCTCCAAAAAGCATTCAAAGCTGTTTTTTCACTACATTTCTTGCGATGGAGCTAAAAACCTTAGTATCTCTTAAAATTGCCCTTTTTTTAATTTTTTTTTTATTTTTATTTTTTATGTGTGTACCATCAAATTGGATCTGACTGGTACAGGAGGCGATTATTCCTCCTTCTTCAGCAGAGCATCTGATGGATTTGAACCGCACACCTCTGGGATTGCAGTACAGTTTCCTGCCACTAGGCCACCAGAGCTCGCCTAAAATTGCCCTTTTAACTTGAATTCTTTTCTGAGTCTCACGTTTTAGCCATTGAGTCTACCTTACTCCATTGTTCTTTGGATCCTCACCCACTTGTGACCTCTGTGTATGATGTATTTCTTTATTCAGTGAGTCAGTTCATAGAGGTGATTCTTTTTTTATTGACATTTTCAAAAACAAACCTATTTTTGCCATAGCTGGACTCACTGCCCATTTATGTTATTGGCACTTATTGCTACCAGAGTCAATATCTGCCTTGCCCCGCATAGTGCTAAAAGGTTGTACCTGGACTGGGGACATGATGGGTGCAGGGCATCAAGCTGCAGCATCTAAGTTCATCAAGAAACAGCCGTCTTTAACATGTTAGGGACTTTTCTTCCTGTTTCCTTCTTCCCCCCACCCCCGCTCCTGGTAGAAAGGGTCACGGCAGTGCGTTCAGTGCTATGCTCCTCGCAGGCACAGGAAGGTGGGACACTGCTCACTTCCACTGGTGGACCATGACTAGTCCATGCCTGCAGGGCTGAGGAGGTCCCACCTTCCGGGCTCGGCCTGCCTTCCTGCCCCAGCAGGACTGGGAGAAGCAGGAGGGATGCGGAAGTCCATGGCTGCCCGCAGTCACCTGGGATTAATTAGTGTGATTGAAACAAACAGTGAGGGCCAGAGGGAAGGGCCCATGTGAGAGTTTCTTGTTTAGAACTTTCAAAAACACCGTTACACAGAATGACAATTTTTAAAAGGTCATCCATCCACTGGAACCACTATCTTTTTTGGAACGAGCAACTGGAACCAAGTATTGTGGCCTAGTGGCAAGAAGTTGTCCTGCAATCCTGAAGGCACATGGTTCAAATCCCACCAGCTGCTTGGCTAGAGAAGGATAGACAGTTTCCTCCAGTGAAACTCACTGCACCTTGTTCTCCAAGTGATTGGGGTGTTTTGCATGCTTGGGTTGGCCTGGTGGTACACCGAGAACCAGACAACTGTTGCCAACACACAAATGGCTAAATAAAATGTGGTCCTTGCATGCAGTGAGATACCACTGAGTGTTACAAGTGCCAGCTGGGTTCAGAAGAGGCCTTGATACTAGGGCCATCGTAGCCAATGTCAAATAGATCTTGGCTGAAATCAGAGAGTACTGGAGGCATGTCTGTCTGTATTTTACTGACTATGCAAAAGTATTTGACTGTGTGGGTCACAACAAATTATGGTTAACCTTGAGAAGAATGGGAATCCCAGAACACTTAATTGTGCTCATGTGAAACCTATACTTGGACCAGGAAGCAGTCCTTAGAACAGAGCAAGGAAACACTGCATGGTTCAAAATCAGAAAAGGGGTGTGGTAGGGATGTGTCCTGTCCCCATATGTTTTTAATCCAGATACAAAACAAGTCATTTGGGAGGCAGGCTTTATGAGGAAACATGTGTCATTAGGATTGGAGAAAGATTCATCAAAAATGTGTGTTAATCCAGATGACCTAATCGAGCTTTCAAAAATGAGGAAGTCCTGAAGCACTTGCTTTAGAAGGTCAAGACTATAGTCTCCAATATGGATTGAAGTTCAACGTCAAGAAAACAAAGATTCTCACCACTGGGCCAGTTGATAGAGAAGTGATTGAGGAGATTGTTAACTATTTCAGCTTACCCAGTTCCACAATCAACACTTTGGAACCAGCAGACAGGAGAAAAAAGATAAATTGCATTGGTAAAATCTGCTTTAAGGAAGCTTTCCAGAGTGCTAATGAGCAATGATGTCAGTATAGAAACTAAGGTGCACCTGATACAGGCCATGGTTTGTGCAGTTACTTGTGGTGCATTAGAGAGCAGGAGAATGACTAAGGGTGACAAAAGAAGACTCGATGCCTTTCAATTCTGGTACTGAAGAAGAGTACTGAATATCCATCCCATGAACGGCCAAGAGAACAAACAGTTCTGTCCTGGAGAGGGTGAAACCAAATTGTTCCATGGAGGCAAAGATTTTGAAGCTCCATCTGACATACTTTGGGCATGCTGCCAGTGGGAGACAACACAGGAGAGGGAGACCCTGGATGAGATTGACACAGTAACTGGTTAATAGGAGTAGGTGTGTTGGAGGCAATGAGATTGGCTCAGAATAGGGGAGAATTCAGAGCTGTTACATCTAGGGTCGCTATGAATTGCAGTTTACTCAGCAGCATTTAACAACAAAGATAAAGGAAATATTGATACATGTTTTAACAGGTGATATATACGTTATAATTAAATGGGCTTGAATTTAACCAAAGAAGATAAACAGATGGTCAACAAGCATACATGGAGAAGCTCAGCATCGGTGGTCTTAAACCAGAAAGACAAACTCAGTGTTGTTGAGTAGATTCTGAGTCTTAGCAACCCTGCAGGGCAGAACAGAAGTGTCATAGGTGCCATAAGATTTCCAAGGGCTCTAACTCTCAACAGAATCTGATTGTTGTGTCTTTCTGCCACAGACTGGCTGGTGGGTTCAGGCGCCAGCTTTCTCCTTTAACCGCCAGGGACTTACCCATTGTACCACTAGGCACAAATCAAAACCACGAGGAAACGAGCAAGCGGTGATGAAGGTGTGGAGAAATGTGCACCCTTATACATTGTTGGGACTAAAACTGGGCAGGAGCTTTGGTTTCCCAAAAAGTTAAAGAGAGAACCTCATATCTGTGTTCAATAATATATCCTGTACCATGTGACCTAGCGACGCTATGTGACGCAGTGATTCCGCTCCTGGGATATATCTACTCAAAGGATTTAAAAGCAGAAACTCCATAGATACTTTTATGGAAGTGTCACACTAGCCAAAAGGTGGAAGCATCAACAGATGAATAGCTAAATAAATTGGAATATGGATGTGCAGTGGGAGATTATTGAGAATTAAAAAGAAAATGTGAAACACGTTGTAACATTCATGAGCCTTGAAAATGTTGTTACAATGTGCTGTCAGGTAGAAACTACTCATAGCTTACTGTCCAGTGGGTCTATAAATTGCTCAGAAGACATTCACCATCTTTCTTTTTTAGAGAATCTATTGGATTTGAACTACCTGACTTTTGGGTTATCAACACAGCTCCTTACCCACAAGACCACCAGAGCGTGAAGGTGACCCCCATGCATGTTGATTGTGAATCCAGGCAAAATGAAATAACTTAAAACATTATGCTAAATAAAATAAATCAGACACAAGGGACATATATATGTTGTATGATCCCACTTCTAGGAAGTATTCAGAATGGGTAGTTTCAGAGAGACTAATACATATATATATACACACATATATACATTAAAAGAAGATGGAAGGACTATA